ATACCATGTTCCAGACCCACATTGGTGCTTTACGAGCGCTTGGCCATACGTGTCGTGGAAATGAGCGCGAGATCCGTATGGCAATGCCAGCGGAGGTAAGGGTTTGTAACAATTTTAATGTCCGAGGTGCAGTGCCCATTCCCGTAGTGTCAGCGACGGAAACTTCGTCTGCGCCCATTTCGAGTAGAGTAGCTGTTATTTCAGCAACCTTGTGAGGAGAGACATCAGGACCTTCATAGGGGCATCCAAGCGCCACGGATACATATCCGCGCACGCGAATATTTTTCTCCTTGGCAAGAGCTACTATGGGCCGAATGCGTTCGAGGGACTCTTCAATAGTGCAGTTAGTGTTCGCTTTCGAGAATGCTTCTGTTGCAGCGGCAAACAGGGAAATCTCAGTGGTGGGCTTTGGAAGCGTGTTGGAGTCGGAAGATTCAGAGGCTGGTGGACTGTCATTGTCCATTATGTTAACTAGATTTTGAAGCCCCTTGATATTGGGAACTAGGTAGTTATATGCGATCGAGTGAGATGACTTGGGAGGCGTTTTGAGAAGATATGATAGGATTTCTGGGGTACTAGCCATCTACAATTGAGTGGAAAGATATGAGTGAGTAAATTCAAAATGTAGGTAGGCATACGGACAATTCTACGAACCTGTGGCACCCACTTCTCTGGAACAAACGAGCCGGCCTCAATCGTGGTCAAGGGGGGGGGGGGGGGCGAGAGGTTGCATTGTTCTGACCTGCAGATATTTTCGCTCGTTCCTTTGAGCCAATGCTCGACGTGTATCACCATCCCACTTTTGTGGACGTCAATTCATCCCAGCCGTCCGCCACGGCTGTGATATCTGAAAGTTTAAAGTAGGCTATCCACTTGCTTCCAACGCCGCCTCGCGCCCATAGTTCTATCATCCTCCGTTGTCACATTTTTGACAGCCTTGCGTTGGGTGAGTCGTTTCCAAGATGTGGGACACTACATGAGCCTTCCTTTCTCTCTATTATAACGGACAGGGAACAGAGCCTGCCACACTATGATATGGATTTCATGGCTCCAGTTCCACATATTTTGTCGAGCCAGGCATTACAGACTTCCATGACGTGGCGTGAGTCGTCTGGCCAGGAGACACTCTATATTCCGTTTTTGCAGGACATGATCATGACGGGGTTTGGATTAACGGAGCTCCTGCTATGCTAATATTTCCGACGATAGGAACATATCCTGTCGTTCTGAAAATGCATGCATGCTGTAACAATCACGACTCCTGTGCGACGCCGCAATCTCTTCCCTCACTCCTCAGTATGGAGGCTATCCTTGCTTGCTGTGTCTCCTCTCAAATACGCCTGTCTATATCCTGCAGCAGATGAAGCGTTCAATATTGAGTTACACTAAATGGGTTGGGGTTAGTGTGGATGAGTCAGTAGGTCCAAGAACAATGATGAGGCGATGACAAGGCATTAAGACGAGCGAATGGGTCTCTTTGAAGTGTCTCTGCCTCGTTGATCTGTCGATGTCATGTCCTAGCCCCTTGTTTCATCACATCGGTCAACCGACAAGGTTTCGTTTGTTTACGTTTGTTTACGTCTACAAGGTATTTAACGGCAATAAAAAAATAACCATTCCAATTTTCTCCTTCTGCTATAATATCTACTCCAAATAACAAGTGAATTGATTGTTGTAAGTTCCGTGGACACGCATTTGGAATACACTTGGCGTCGTTGTTCTCTTTTTTGAAGGTTGAAATTGAATTTCTAGCCCCATATTCGTATCCACACAGCTGGGTCTAAACTACTCAGGTGATTTTAAAGGAGCGAAAAGAAAGTCTCACCCTTGCATTCCAGCATGCAGCAGTTGCAGATGCGGAGAACAACCTTCGACTTTTAGCCCCAAATGTGGGCTATACATGTGGTATCTCTGTATTATATGCTCCCAGGTCCTTAGTGTTGGCAGTACAGCATCCTGTTGAGCCACCCAATGGCTGCTCCACACCAGCTAGTCAGGCAATCAAGGATCTACCATAGGGGTTGTGATATTTCCATTGGATGATCGATTCTAGATGGTGGCATATAACTCCGATGGCGTTTCATTTACAGGATGCTTCTGGTCAGCTTTTGAATTCGGGCCTGTATGATGCATGCGCGACGCTTGAATAGTCATCGCATCCCCTATATCACTTTGATTTTGCTCTTGCCAGGGCTTGATCGTCTGTCGTTCATTCTAGCCTTATGTTCAATTCGCCCCTTCGACTAGATTTGTCACAACGCTTGCGGCCCCCTAATCAAGCCTCCAGCCTTATTGGTGCCACATTGCGAAATCCGGGCCTCGATTCCTTTTGGTACCCCGCCTGTTTGCCAGGTGGCATGGCTATCGCCAAGTTTCTTCGCCAGTCCTCGAATGGACCTCCCCCCTTGTTGACATGGCATATTTGGTTCTCTACGACCGCCGTTATAGCTTCTATTCTTCAGCGAATGTTGCGACTACATCCTTTCATGGCATTGGCGCTAGCCGCCTCTAACAACTAGCACAGCGGTGTGAATACCGTGGTATATCCACGAAGGATAAATCCCACCTAGCGTGTGACAACGTGAAGCCAACCGGAAAATGCCCTACATCGCTGCGCCGTTGGTTGTGCCCAATTTCACTTCCAAGGTTGACGGGTGGAATAGTTGACAGGCAGCAAGTAGTAATCCACCTTACCTGATTCATTGTTTTCATTGTTTTCATTGATTTCTGTTTCCAACCTTTCCTAATCTCCGTCACCAGTAATTGACGTGGCAGCCACTTCTGTCTTTTCCAGAAACTCTAATGTACGTGCTCCCACGGATTGATACTTGCGTGCTTATGTGTGAGTTCAGTAAATATTTCGTCCCTTTTTTGTTCATCCTCCCGGGGCGTTTTTACGATCGCCATCCCGTAAAATTTCTGCCCCATAGTTGAACCTGGCTCTTTGAGGAATTGACCTCCGATCTTCAAATATCTCTTGCAAAGACGCTCGTTAATAAGAAGCTTGGCGCACCCTCTTTTTGGCTCTTTGGCTCTTTGGCATGCCTTTTTTTTTTTTTTTTTTTTTTTTTTTTTTTTTTTTCAGTTTAACTTTGAACACAAAACCGGCAGTGCCTTGCATCTGGTCCTGCCATTTAACTTAATGCCGACTAGCAAAGTCGAATGCGACGGACACCTGCTCAATTGTCCCCCGTGGCTGTTGATATTAGTACTCGCACGGCCTGTACTATCAATGAGCATGTTTCACGAGACCCTGACAAGCGCAACACGGAAAGAAGGGCGTTTTTTCCCTTCTCCTTTTCCCCTTTTCTTTTTGTTATTTCGGGGAGAACATTCAATCGGCGACCTTTCCACATCTCCCTGGCTGCCGGGCGTGCTTACTGCGAGATGTACCCCAACTCGCATGATCTTCCATCATATTTGCTCGTGTTGACGATATGTAGTCTTTTTTTTTGGATTCTTCATTGCTTCCATGACATCCGCAGTCTCGTTGGTTCGCCACAAAACAGGGCTACATAAAATGTTCTCCTGGGCAGCCCAGGGCTTTATCTCTGAACGCCCTGCTCCCTTGACCGCCAGTCCAAGGTTATTTATGGTTTCCATTCAGTTTCACTATCCTTTTTTTGCCTCCTTTTTGGGAACATTTCTATTTTTAATTTTATCTTCGGAAAAACATGCACTAAACACCAGGCCACTATCAAATCGCATCAACTGCCCTCCTCAGTCACCTTTTGCTAAATCGACCATGCAATGACGATCAATTATCAGTCACATTTCCGGCGGCGCAGCTCACAGAGCTTGCAAATGTATAGGTCAGCCTCGTGTTCCTGCCTCTGTCTTCAGTTGCCTTGTTTTCTTCTCCCGTTCTAGTCTCCACACATTGCTCATTCAGACTTTTTCCGCGGTTGTTAGCTGCTGACAACGAGGGCAATCCAACACGTATCTCCTCCCCCCTCCCCCCTCCTGCACCGTTGGCACATCGCAATGTTTTTTCATTGTATGAGTGTGTGATTCACTGTCTGGATGGAACCAATTCTTCTGCAATTTTGCCTCGTGCATTGGTTGTCATAGGTGATGGAAATTCACAGCTAACAATTGACCCGGCAGCTTACATTGAGGAGCTAGATCTCTGGAGTTCCCTGTGCTATGCAGACCCATTCGAGTGATGCTTGATTCCAAACGTCTTCGGCTCTGATGTACGCTGGGGCATGGGCGAGCAGTAGCGTGTAGTCAACAGATATTTGAACCGCGATCACCTGTCGTCGGGTCAGCCGGCACAGATACCTTGTTAGACCGTTTACCTCTATATCAGCCAATTCTGAGACGAACCTCCCCTGCGGGAAATGTTCCCAGAAAATCATTCGTATTAATTTTCTTGTATCCTGCACCGCTGTCCCCTGACATTGGTTGGAACAAAGCAATTAGGGCTGGGGCCACAAAGAGGATTAGCTCATTCAAATGACGTCACTGCATGCCAGATGCCCAGACCAAAACAGTGTACATACGCCTCCCATTAACATCCAAAGCCATGTTATCATCATTTCAACAACTGAATGGGTCAAGAAAAGTTCATTACTTGATTTACTATTTTCCCTTGTCACACCCTATTGGACAGGGGAATGGTTTATTGCACATAGCCACTCGATTTCGCTCTGACCCTACATACTCCGTCAAGGCTTGGGCGAGTTCATCCATTCAAAAGTATTACCTAAAGTCAGTACAAATGACTGCAAACCATATACATCTGTGACTAAATGAATGACGCGGCTTGAGATACTGGAAACGTGAGAACGCTGATAATCCACTTCATATTTACCAGGGCTGCGACCCCGTTGGCAGCTGCTCGTGACATATTCGCCTCCTGGTCATACCAAAAGGAAATCCCTTCATCGCCCTAAAAGTGGGACACTAGCAGGTTGTTAAAGAAAGTAAAACGAATAACAGCATCCGTTGAACCATTTTATTTGCGTATCTGCTCAGTATGGCCACTTTCCGCTTCGCTTCAGCTCGAATTAGCATGCTAGTACCGCGGGCCCACCAGAACCTCCCTTACCATTCCTTCTTCAACCTAACTGCAGCTCAGTTGCAAGTTTCCAAAACCCCTTTCCCAGCAGCTGCGTCGGCTCTCCTACGACGCTCCTTTGTCACTGACCGGAAGCAACCCGAAACCCCAGCCCCGTACGAGATCGAAAATGACCCGGACGGCCGCTACAGCATAAATACCGAGCGGCATGAGTACTCAAAATCTGGTTCGGACAACGCCGTTGCAGAACAGCGGGCTGCATGGGATCTCAGTTACATCACGCCGGAGATGGTGAGAGAGGCTTCGCTAGACGAGGCGATGCATGACGGTCACAGTAAGGCAGGTCCTCTAGAGGTCAGCCCTGCTAACCGTGATGTCTCCCAGTATACAGATGAGGCTGCAAGGCGTGGATGGGTAGAGAAAGGTCCTAGCCGTAGGGTGTCACCCCCGAAGGGGATGAAAGTTGATTACAGTGGCACAGTTGTTATTGAGAAGAAAGAGACGTTGATTAAATTGCCAACTAAGTGACTCAGTTTTATGGATTTGACGTACGGAACTTGCTCTTTATTTGATCTTGTTCTATATTTTTCGGCGTTCATTCCAAATGGATAGGGGGACTGGCACAGATTGGAATGCTGACAATCGGCGGCCGCAATTAACTTTATCTAACTTGGCCTCTCTTTTCCTCGAAAGATTGATTCTACCCGCCCATCACGCGTTATGCAGAAGGGCATTTTAGCTAGGAAGAACAGAATAAAAAACTCAACATCAAGGAACAAAAATTGAAAACAATTCACCATACCACATAGTTGAGAATAGTGAGTCGCTTACAAAGGAACGACCGCATGTGTAAAACACACTTCGCAAATCCACTCCCTCAACGAGTCACCCCGCTTACATCCACACTCCCAAGCCTTACAATATTACTCATTTTTGTATGCTGCCGTTGAAGATGCAGAAGTCCCTGTCAGCCTCGATATCCTGGGTCGTGTATACTCTTTAGTTATCCATGGAGAGGAAAAGTCAAGGCCGCAGAGGAACAAACATTCAAAAGCAAGCCATAATTGACTAGAGCTTGACTTTCCAGAAACGTTTCCAGGGGTGTGGTATATGTTTTACACAAGCGGAGTAGATCGGTGGAACAAACCACCTTTGAGGCATAATTGGAACCTTTGAACGTTAGGAAGGGGTATTTTACTTAAGATGATGCCACTGAATTTTGAATTTTCACTAGTTACACTAAAAGAATGTACGCAAAGAAATACATATTTGCTGAATTCCCAGAGCTGACAAACTCGTTAAAAATATAAGTCAGAAATTCACCATGACACTGCTATATTTCAAGCGAGTTTGTGTGAGACAACCACGTGTCTCGTGTAACGCTCTTACCCTATATAAAATGGTCCGCTTAGTTAGCAATTAATCAATCAAGTTTTTCACCTTCCACAGTTTGTTGAGACTCGAGACGCACAGTTGAATGGAATTCAGAACTTCAGATGTGGCAGAGAAATTGAGGTGCAATTTCAACCTTCTGCTTCTGTGAAGTGATTTTTTTTTTTTTTTTTTTTTATTCTTACATCTCAGGCTCTCATACTCCGTACTGTTTGCTTGCATCAATCCGCTTCGTAAAGTGGATTCCTGTATCTGCAGGTTGTACCGCCTGAAGGGCCAGCCTATCACCATAGGGTTGGGATACCATTGCAGTTGCAAATTCAACATTCTTGATGATATTTACTAAACTCAGTTGATGCTGGGTTGAAATTGGTGCAGAATATGATCTGTCTTTCCTCTGGATGTTTTCATCTTGTGAAAGATCTCAGCCACTAGCCACCTTATAATTTGATTCATAACCTTGACTTCTGAGTCTTTTTCAGCATCACTTCTGCTTGAGCTTGCAGTAGTACTCTTTTTTTTTTTTTTTTTTTTTTTTTTTTTTTTTTCACAGAAACATGCTCCCAATTGTCTTGATTTTGTTATTGCAGTCCAACACCACAGCATCACCAACTATATATATTCATCATGGATTCTCTTTTTCTAAACAGAAACCGCGCCCATCATCCCGATTTCTAGAATCTAACGATTTCGCCCCACGTTGCCCCTCGGTTGCGCCGTTCCACTCACCTACTCGCCATACCATATCTGTTCATATATACAAAACATTTTTGTCAGCTGATCTATCTGGGACGGCCACTTCCCCAGCCAATATAGTACATACCTTCAGAGCCATTTTCACGAGTTACATATTCGAATGATCCCCCACCATCCTTCGTATCCGAGACTGCCTCTGATGGCAGAAAACTCGTCACATTAAAATACCAAATATTGACGTTGATCTGGAGTGAGAGATGAGAAATCTCCCCGTGTCCTCCTCTTCTTCCTTCTTGCCTTCTTTCTTTTGTGAATCATATGTCACCCCTCTAAGCTGAGTCGGGAATAAAAGTCCAGCAGCTGTGAGGCCAAAATATGCTTCCGCAACGGATCAGATACGTATCCCCTTTGGATTTTATCAAGCAATCCTTTTCGTAGCAATCCTCATCCTTAAAACAAGTTTTTTCCACATCACACCAGTCATACTTCAACAATGGGAGTGGCGGGAGGTGCTGAGGCAATCCAGCGACGGACTTGAGTGCATATGCACCAAGGAAGACGAGACCAAGCTTCATTTGTTTGTGAGAAGCTTTTGTATAGTACTATGAAAGCAGCGAGAGGGTAATCAGCAGAGGACGGGGTGTATGGGATAGTGCCCGATGAACCAATATTATAAACAGAGATAAAGCTGAGCTGGTGGAATGAACAAATGAGAAAGCTGACATGGGAGGGCTGTGTTTATTTATCAACTTTTCGCAGATCCGCATTCATTTGATAAGGTTTACTCTACCCTACAAGTCTAGTATGCTTGCTTCCCTGGGGAATATTTTCCCGCGGTAAATTTCGTCTATCTATCAGCCTTGTGAACCAGATCCACTGTTTCCTTTTTCGCCCCTTCCGGGTACCACAAAATCGTTTTATACGATAATGGGCAGAATCTAATCTGTGTGTAAGGGGCGGAAACACTGTCTCTCTTAGAGAACATCAAATATAGTTCTTACGATGAAATGTCCACAGTAAACAAAAGGTGATTTTACAAAGCAAGGAACAGCCTGCGCCTCGCGCCATCCCCTTTTGTTGTATGTGGTAAGGGTCCTACATGTATGTTTAGATGAGGAATCAGAGGGTCTTATCCCATCTGCTATTCCCATTCTTTAATGCATGATATACAACTATAGTACAGTACATATATAGATTTTGAAGAAACGTTTAATTATAGTCAATGTTTTTCTCACAGGAATATCTATAAAGGCAATACACAATAATGAATGAATAGATACAGTAATGCAATATTAAAGTGATGGATTTAAAATTAGCTTCTAATTTTAAATTGTTATCGAATTGATTGTAACGCAATTACTTCGCCACGATCTTAGAGTTCACCTTGTTCATGCCATATCCTCATTCGCCCGTTGACATAACATGGTTTGCTTTCAAAGCTACCAATTAACTTACTCAGGCTTCTTCAACTTTATACATTCATGCAAAAAAGGGGCAAAGAGTGAGTGGAAAATCTTGATAAGACGTCAAGGATGAACTCAGAGAAGAGCTGTGCTCCTCCACATCCAGACAAGGCTTGCATCTAGTCATAATGTTGGTGTCTAGGGCTAGTAGTCGGTGAAAACCAAGTAATTCAATTTTAGTGCTGAAGGGATTCATTCGGATTGGTTTTTTGTCCTCGCTACCAGCGTGGTGATCGGGCTCCTCAGATGGATAGATAGGGCCCGGGGTTCAGATAAAGTTCAACATCACATGATTAGTTACTGTAGTTACGAAGAATTTTGTAGTTAGTTACTTTATAATTTCATTACAAATTCAAAGAATTGCAAATTACAATTTAATTTGTCGAAAAAGGATGAAATAAGTATCTTTTTTTTTTTAATATACTCTAAAGTACGGAGTAGTTACTAGTCCGTGGAACGTTGAAAATTTTGTTGGACCAGGTAGTTACTGGTTCTCTGTACAGCCCCCCCCCCAACCATGGATTCAGGAAACGGCGCTCGTCCGAGTCTTACGCCGCATATCAAGATTAAAGGCGCTCTTCCAACAATTGGTCTGATCCATCATCGAAACGAGCATAGCCGCAACTTTCAGCCACGGTTCCGGACGGGAGACCTTTGATGATACTATTGGGAGGAGTGGTTAGATCACCGAACACAACTGTAGTTGGCGGCTTCTATAGCAGCCCGCATTTTCATTGAAAGAGAGTGCTGTGGAGACAGCCTGTGACTGGCCCACTATCGACGTTTGTCGCTGATCTTGGTCGGGCGGAAGGTAAACTTTAACGTTGCTGGTAGAATTGCCTGGGTCTGACCAATAATTGGCTCGAATGGATAGACTCCGTAATGTTTGTCTGATCCACCTTGTTTCCTACTTTTGCCTTCAGCACAGTGATTGATCTTCCTTATAGAGATGTAAAAGCTATGATTGAATACAATATGATGTATATTTTGATTTTTGGTCATTTTCCAGATCATTATTGTACACACCTCAATTGAAATGCGATTAAACCCATTTTAACCCCGTAGCAATCTGTTCGCTAGCAGGATACTATTTATCATCAGTGAACTAGGGTACACCACAATATACTCCGTAGCTACATATGGATAAATCGTACGGGGGCTCCCAGGATCGACTAGAGTTGTGGCGACTGGTGGCGGTGGCGGCTTGTTATCCAAGATCAAAACGCTTGGCACGAGCGATTTCATCCTCGATCGTTGACCCGCCACATGATAGATGGCGTTTCTGCGTAGAGGGCTCCTAGTGCAGTGCATACAACTCAGTTCATTATTGGGGCCCAGGCAACTTTTTGCCTTCTTAACGACTGACCAACTTTGAACCCTGTCATGGTTAACAGTTTTTCCAGCGGAAAATTTGAACCAACGCTCAAGCTTTTTTGAACTATGATCAAGTGTGCCGCACCCCCACTTGATCGATCGCATAGGCTGAGATTGAACCAATAAATAACTTTATCTTGCAACTGGGTTCGTTAAGTGGCAAACTCATCTTATAATGCCCTACTGACCAAAATACTGGGGGGGCTTCGTGATTTTTTCGCATTTCAATTTACGCCGGCGATGAATGATCCAGGAATGGTTTTTCAAAGCTCAGAAAACTGGAAATATATACAGCCTATTATGCATATATCCCACTTCTACGGAGTACTTTTCTATTATACAAAAATTCCTTATGTGTTGAAATATGATGGTCCAAAGAAAGCTGTAGGAGGATAACGTTCATTGTTATTACTAAACTAACTACGCGAGAACAATACAATATGTTGGGGGGCACGTGATAGGGTAGCCGTAGTACCCACTAACACCCCCCCGTGCTACGGCGCCGCCAGTGCAGTGCCGCCCGGGGCCCCCCTTTGCTCAATTCTTCTAAAAACGCAATAACAATTAATTACAAGATTTGGACCCTGATTTCCTCTTTGGGAATAGGTGCCCGTACAGCAATAACTGTAAAAAACAGAATAATACAAGCAAAATTCTGTAATCTGCTGTACCACCATTATCTTCAACCTTCTTTTCCAATCTTCATTAACCCAATTCTTCTAACAAATTCTTCAAAAGCAGGCCTTGCCAGTGGCTTGGTGAGGCCGTCAGCTATATTGACTGTAGAATCAACATATTCCATCATAATTTCATCCTTTTCAATCAAATTGCAGAGAATATGATATCTAATTTCAATATGATGTGATCTTCTTGTTAAGAATTCTTCTTTTGCTAGATCTATCACCCTCTTGTTGTCAACTCACAGATGTGAGCATATCTTCACTTTTCCCTCTATCAATTCAACATCATATAGCATGTCATTCAATCAAATTACTTCACATGCTGGGGACAACATTACATCCGGAGCCAACTTCTCAGCTTTTAAAATAAAGGGATGTGAACTTTCCAAGTAGATATCTTCAGATGAATCTACTATCTGATTTTAATTGTGTATTTAGATTGTTTAAAGAATTAAATCATCATTTCATCAATAAAAAGATTTAAATCTGAATTATAGTGTTTCTGATATGTTGTATAAAAGTTGAAGTATAAAAACTCTAATTTCTGTATATTATTATTATTATTATTATTCTTCCATTATACTCATATGCAAGCAGTGCTTATGATGAGTCCTTGTGTAATGTTAAATACAGGCAAGAGTTGGTTATACAGAATGAATGTTTAATGTTGAATGATGTCAAGAATATAACAGAAACATAGAAAAATTAATGAAAGACAGAATTTGATACTTATGATACAGATTTTCAGCTCAGAAACAATAAGCTAAATCAGATAGTAGATTCATCTGAAGATATCTACTTGGCAAGTTCACATCCCTTTATTTTAGAAGCTGAGAAGTTGGCTCTGAATGTAATGTTGTCTCCTTGTGGGTGCCTATCTGCCTTCCCGCCTACGTGCAATATCAAGTTGTAGAGATATCTGGTGATGATATCTGCCAGAAATGATATATCATATCAAAGACTCTATAACATCACACTAGCAAGTATCTTGTACAGTAATATCTCGCTACTTGAAACCTGAGCACTGCCCCGCTGTATACCAGCACTGCCCCTATCATATGTTCAATAAATACTGCCAGGTTGTCATGTAATTATCGGAGTGAGAATAAGCAATGCAATTTATCTATCGATATTCAGTATCTGGGTCAATATTCGGACTTGATCCAGTTCCGACAATGGACATTATTCCTCTACGTCCCAGATCGACGATGGCGCTGATTGGTCGATCAACGGCATTGGACCGGGGATGTGACCCACTTGCCGCTTGTGGCACCGGCCCGAGATCCCAATCAGGAAGCCTTTCTTGGCGGCCGTCCAAACGCCAAGTCTGTACCGGAATAACCTCGGGCCGCGTGCTGGCAAATCACGCCATTCCGCCTGAATCAGCGCTTAATTGCGTGATCGAGCGATGGCTTAGGGCTAGCCTGCCCGTTTTGGCTAGCGCGGCCCTACTCCAGTTTGTTCGTGGAGAGGAAACACAGGAAAAGAGGAAAAGAGGCCCTGGATGGGGGACGGACGGGGTTAGTTAGGGTGAGGACAGCGAGGACGGTGAGGATGGCGAGGCCGATGGTGACGATGAGCTCATCTTGTTCTCGTCGGGGCGGCCGTGGTAAATATTTCTTCTTGTGTTGGCTGCCATTCTTCCTCTTAGGGTTACTTGCTTGATATTGTGATCTTGCTATGTCCAATATATGCCTTTGAATACCTGCTCCGTACAGAATAAATAAAATCTTCGTTTTTCCATTTTTTTTCTTTTTTTGTCTTTTCGTTGAATCATGCGGTCTGTTGAGCCCGCATCGGGTGCGTCGTTTGCTGCCATGGACAATCCTCAGCTACAGCAGCAGCAACCCCTTGACATCCCCCCAGAGTTCTCAGATATCAGGGGCCCCATATATCTCACAGCCCAGACGCTGATTCAACAGGTCGCCTACGCCCTCTCTGATAAGCTCTTTACCTACTCGCCGGATACTTTCGACCTGGACGTCGCCGTCAAGCAATGGGCCTCCCAGGTTCAGCTCAACGCCAATGGCTCCCCCCACCGCGGTCCAGTCAATGCAGACCCGCGTAGGTGCTGGTACCATTGCTCTGGGCTACATCTTCTCCAAGGACTTTGACCTGAAAAGGCGGCATATTCCACAGTCGATCATTGCCTCGTCTGCTACCTTGCAGTACCTGCGCCCGGCTCTGGAGCAGCTCTCGTTGCTCTATTCGGTTGCCAATCCTGTTGTTGCTCATGTTGCCGCGGTGGACTATACTGGCGGTGCGGTTGGTGGTCTTGTTGCCGACTACACTGCCTCCCTGACTCTTGCGGAGGAATTGGGTCTGGGCCTGGTTGCGAGTTTCTCCGCCCGCGAATCTCAGCATATGGCTCTTTTCTCGACTCTGTTGGCCAGTACGCTGCCGACTATTCATATCTACGATGGCGTCAGAGTCGGAAGGGAGATCACCCAGGTCGCTGATGTCCTCGATCTGTCGGGCCTCAGTGTTGTGCACCAGAAAGTGCTGCAGCAACTGGCTTCGGATCCCGACCGTAATCACTTAGATGCTGAGGGCAAACTGCTGCGCTTGCTCAAGGCCTTTAATGGCCAATTGGGCACAAGCTACAGCCCCTTTGAATACAGTGGACACCCGGAGGCAACCTCCGTTCTAGTATCCTTTGGCACCGTCGAGTCCTCGTTGGCTTCTCAGATTGCCGCATCCCTCGCCAAGGGTGGTGCTCGTGTTGGCGTGGTCAACGTGAGGGTCTACAGGCCATTTGTCGAGGAATCATTCTTGGATGCACTGCCAAAGACTACCAAAGTCGTCGGGGTCCTGGGGCAAGTTCAGGCTGATTTGGCCGTCCGGGAAGACGGCGTACACTCTGCACTCTACGAGGACGTCCTGGCCACGTTAACCTTTGGGAGTGGCTTCCATACTGTCCCCCAGTGTGTTGATATTAAATACGCTCCCTCGCATTCATGGACCCTTGCGAACACCGCTGCGGCTTTCCAGAAAATTGCAAATGAACCGCTACATTTACAAGGTGACCAAGATGCCATGGGCATCTCCGCAAGTTCTTTGCAGCTGCTCTCCCCTTCCGTCGTCCAGCAATATACCTTCTGGGACACAGACGACTCTGCAACAAACGCAGGTGCTATTGCTCTTGGTCAGGCCTTTGCGAGGGACTCTGCTTGCAATGTTACCACGAACGTATTCTACGATAATCTTGTCCAGGGAGGAATGACCCGTACTGATATCCGGAAGGGTCCTCGAAGTATTGATGCACCTTTTGCGATTGACTCCGCCGATGTTGTCTATGTGGGCGATATCAAGCTCTTATCGGAGCTAGACATACCAAGCAGCACTAAGGATTCGGGAAAGATCATTGTCAAATCTTCTGGGTTGAAGGACGAGGACTTGGAGAAGAAGCTTCCGCATTCATTCAGATTGGCAATTGCGAAAAGTGGAATATCACTTCTTATCCTGGACATTCCTCCGTCCGAAGAGGCTAATTTTGAAACTGCCATTTTTAAAGCGGCCTTTTTGCGAGTTGCCTTACCCGGTCTCGATGTTATTGAAGCTAAGAAGCTAGCTCTGGCGCTGGGAGACACAGAAGGACTCTCCAAAGCAGTAGAAGCTCTAGAGACAGTTCTCCGGACGGTTGAGATCCCGGAATCGTGGGCATCATCATCTGCGGAAAACGAGCCAGACGGCGCTTCAACCAAACTTCCCGTTGATGTCCACGCCACTAGTTTTACTTCATTTAACAAATCGAATGACGAGGAGCCCTCAATCCTCAGAGACTGGCAAGATGTGGCGAAAGCTTTAGTTTTCAAGGAGGCTTACGGGACCACATCCGCACTGCGCCCCGACCTTGCAGCTAAGACCTTCACGATCCACGTCAGCGAGAATCGACGTCTGACTCCCAAGACCTACGATCGTAACATCTTCCACATCGAATTTGACTTGGGAGACTCCGGCCTCAAGTACGACCTTGGTGAAGCGCTTGGTATCCATGCTGAAAACAACCCTGCGGACGTGGAACAATTCATCAAACTCTACGGTTTGGAACAAGACGCTATTGCCGAGGTCCCCTCCCGCGAAGACCCATCCATCTTAGAATGTCGGACCGTCTACCAGGCCCTGATTCATAACATCGACATCTTTGGCCGCCCGCCCAAACGCTTCTATGAATCTCTCGCTTCTTTCGCCACGGATGACAAAGAGCGCAAACACCTTCTCTCCCTCGGCAGCGCTGAGGGCGCGGAAGAGTTCAAACAGAGGGCAGATGTAGACACCGTCACCTTCGCCGATCTCCTCCTGGAATTCCCCTCCGCCCACCCATCTTTCCCAGACCTCCTCCGAATAGTCTCCCCCATGAAACGCCGCGAATACTCCATCGCTTCTTGCCAGCAGGTAACCCCCACCTCCGTGGCTCTCATGATCGTCGTCGTCAACTGGGTCGACTCCGCCGGCCGCACGCGCTATGGCCAGGCATCCCACTACCTCAGCAATCTCAAGCCCGGCGCCCCAGTCACCGCCAGCGTCAAGCCGAGCGTGATGAAGCTTCCCCCCAAGTCCACGCAGCCCATCATCATGGCTGGCCTGGGTACTGGCCTCGCCCCGTTCCGCGCCTTCGTCCAGCACCGCGCCCTGGAGAAGGCGCAGGGGAAAGATATCGGCTCAGTGCTCCTCTACATGGGCTCGCGCCATCAGCGTGAGGAATACTGCTACGGCGAGGAGTGGGAGGCGTACCAGGCCGCGGGAGTGATCACGCTGCTCGGCCGCGCCTTCAGTCGCGATCAGCCGCAGAAGATCTACATCCAGGACCGCATGCGCCAGACGCTGCCGGAGATCACCCAGGCGTACATTCGGGAGCAGGGGGCATTTTACCTGTGTGGACCGACGTGGCCGGTTCCGGACGTGACGGCGGTGTTGGAGGAGGCGATTGCGATAGAGGCGAAGGAGACGGGGTTGGGGAAGAAAGTAGACCCGCGGAAGGAGATTGAGAAGCTGAAAGATGATTTGAGGTATGTTCTGGAGGTCTATTAGGTGCGAGGAGGTCGGATAAATGGGCTGGGTGGTATTGGATGATTTGTGGTTGTGGACGTGGAAAATGTGTATTGCTTTATAGATTAAATAGACGCGATAGTTATATCATTATTGTAATAAGACGTGACTTTGGATGGCTAGATAGTTGTACGGAAATGCTGCCCAGATTTTTACGCTGTGTACAGGACAAAAAGCAGCACATCAAACAATTAGTGAGACAAAACCGGATACCAGGGATATGATGAGATCTTTGATATAGAAGATAAGCCGAGCTCAAAATGAACGGAGATAAAGTAAACATAGCTGCTCTGAAATACAGCGGGAGGAAGTACTCCGTAATTATCATTGCAATGCAAGAACGGGGAAAGCTAATGTGCGGGTCCCCCTCTACCAACGGGGTCGGGTCTTCCTTGCGTGGGTTGTGGATGGATCCGCACTTCAAAATGTCCCTGCTTTGCTTTCCTTTGAAAAAAAAAAAAAAAAGAAAAGAAAAGAAAAGAAAAGAAAAAGCCATCTGTGAAGCCGCCAGTGTGTAGCTCTATTGAAATGGGTTTAACTATATGAGTATATGAGCGTGAAGCTCACTGTGTGTCTCTCTCTAACGCCACCTGAGCGTTTAACGAATAGTTGTTACTAAGTGGGACTCAAGCCTTGCCACATGCCTGATGCAGTTCAAGGAGTAAGATCTATGATTGAGGACATCTGAAATTGCTATGCGATTTAGTGTAGCACTGACTTGGAAAGTTTTGGTGTATCGTTGTAATCCTCATTGCATTTGGGAAGTCAACTCCAGCCAGAAAGCACCGCCACCAAATGCTGCCATAATTGACCGGGTCTAATTAAGAGGGAGGGGGTGGGGGGAATTAAAAAAAAAAAAAAAAAGGAGCTCCCCTCCATTCCCAAGGAAGAACCAAGACCACTTAACTAAACTCCACCCCTTTCGTCTTCCCATATGCACCCCCTTTCTGCCTCCTCAACTCCAGCGCGCGCTTATACGGTGGTGCCGTCGGCGGCTGTACGGGGTCGAGACTGACATAACCCGGCGGCAGCTCGTACGAAGCATCTGCATCCCAGGCTGAGAGGTCACCGCAGGCGATGAAGGGTGGGATCCAGCGGTTGACTGTGGTTGCTGGAGACGACGAGGTTGCCGCGCCGCCAAACAGCGGGTTTTCGAGGAGGCCCATGCCATGTTCTCCTCCGGCTGTAGTAGATTCATTGTGCGTGCGAGGCGGGATGAAACCCTCGCAGACGACGAAGGCCTCCAGACTGCTCGCGCGGCTGCTGCGCGGCTTCGCGACGGACACGGTTTCGAACACGGTCTTCAGCTGCGCATAGATCAGGTCCACGTCGCGGCCGCGGAAAATCTTGGCGACGAATTTGCCGCCGGGGCGCAGGACGCCGATGGCGAGGTTGAGGGCGGCGTAGAGGAGTTGCGATTGGATGTAGATGTCTAGATCGTGCAGGCCGGTTACGTCGGGCGCGCCGTCAGAGAGCACGAGGTCGACGGGGTGTAGGCGATGTGAGGTACTGGTGGTGGTGGGGGTATCATTGTGGGTGTAGTCATCTGGATCGAGGGCCTCGAGGAGTAAGGGGATGGTGGACGGGTGTGTTATATCTGCTTTGAGACAGGTGATTCCGTCCAGCGGGGTCATGGGTTGGAGGTCGATGGCGACGATTTTCACGTTCTTTCGGGGTTTGAGTATCTCTTTCTCTTCTTCTCCCTGTTGCTCCTTTGTTTCTACGCCTTTCTTCACGCCCTCCAATCTCTGCGCCTGCTTTTGCTCCCGCTGCCGCTTCTCCTCCCACGCCCGCCGGCCAAAACTCTCCCCCTTAATCAACACACGGCTGAGAACCTGACTCCAACTCCCCGGAGCAGCGCATAGGTCCACCACGCGCGTAACGCTGTCTGGATTTGAGTGCGCGAACAGGTCGAATTGCTCGTCGATCTGGATCAGCTTGAAGGCGGAGCGGGCTCGCCAGTTCTGCTCCTTAGCCAGGCGGTAGTAGGCATCGCGCTTGTCTTTGGAGGATTTTCCCATTTTCAGTCTGTAGGGGACACGGCGTATCAGTATATTTATGTTTCATTATATTCTGTCCATTGTATTCTGGGTTGTCAATGCTGTAAAATATGCGGGGTGGCGTATTTTCATATCATATTTGGTGGGGAAATTGAAAACGACTTTTGGAGCTAATTTATTTTTTTTTTATCTTTTTTTCTTTTTCAAGAAGCTTGCTTGGGCAATTTTTTAACGCAGTAACAACATTTCCACATTCAAATACTATTTTCAAAATGACCCACCCCGGATCATAACAGCGCGGGCCATTATTGACGGTGGCCTCAGCACTTTTCCTTTCTCATCGTGGCTTTTATGCATGCAAGATATCCTCAAACATGGCTAAAAAAAGAGCTCGCGTCGCTCAAGATCTCTCTCATAAGTCCAAGAAACGCCAGCGGGTTGAGGCTACTGGAGATGACGGAGAAATCGTCGGAATTGACCAGCTCGATTGGAAAGAGGTCGCCTTGCCTGACCGATTAGAGGATGCGGAGGGATTTTTCGGTTTGGAGGAAATTGATGGTGTGGACCTTGTGCGGCCGATAGGAAATGGAGAGATCAAATTTAAGGTGCGAGAATGATCATTGTTTGGGTGGAAAGCCTTGTGATCTATGAACTTTGGACTAATATATGGTGGCTATTCTCTATACAGGCTGCCAGGAATAGGGTGAAGAAGAACGTTGCCAACAGTATATCGTCAAATACGGAACACGAGGCCGGTGAATGGAGTGGGATCTCGGACGATGAAGAACCTGCAGATGACAGGGTACATAGCAGCAAAGGAAAACAAACAAATGTGGATAAAATTGAGACAAAGGAAGATAAAGAGAAGAAATCAAAGAAGCAGAGTAAAAAGGACTTGAAGCTTATAGATGCCGAAATCCAGAGAAAAAAAAAGCCTGCTCCCAAACATGATATCCAATCGGGAATATCGTTTGAGGCTTTGGAGGAAGAGGTTGATGGGGACGAAGTGGACGTCTCAGGCTGGGACCCTCTGGGCATATCGGCAGAGATTCAGACAAGCCTGTCGAAGCTCAGATTTGCAAAGCCCACTCCGATCCAGACTGCCTGCATACCCCTTATTGCTTCAGGCCATGACGTTGTTGGGAAAGCTTCCACAGGTTCTGGTAAGACGTTGGCATTTGGTATTCCTATATTGGAATACTATTTAAAGAATCGCCGCGAGGAACCAGTGCAGCATAATGATGCGGAGTTGTCGAGCAAATATCCAATTGCGCTGATCCTATCACCGACCAGAGAGCTCGCCCATCAACTATCTAAACATATTACGGCACTCTGTACCAATGCCCCTAACATAAACGCGAGAATAGCTTTGTTGACTGGTGGTCTTTCTGTTCAAAAACAACAACGAGTTCTGGCAAATGCGGATATTGTTATTGGAACACCAGGTCGCTTATGGGATGTTATCAGCACTGGACATGGCTTATTACGAAAGTTTCAAAATATCAAATTTCTTGTTATCGACGAAGCTGATCGACTGCTCAGTGAAGGGCACTTCAAGGAGGTAGAGGAGATACTAACTGCCCTCGACAGAAAGGAAATCCATCACAAAGTTACTGCTGATTCTGAGAGTGAGGATGATGCTTCCAGGGAGTCTCCCAGGCAGACACTCGTCTTCTCAGCAACCTTTCACAAAGGACTGCAGCAGAAACTGGCGGGAAAGGGTCGCTACTTTGACGGAGATCTACTCGATGACAAGCAGTCGATGGAATATCTCCTCAAAAAGCTCAATTTCAGAGAAGACAGACCGAAATTTATTGACGTGAATCCAGTTGCTCAAATGGCGGAGAACCTCAAGGAAGGTCTTGTGGAATGTCCGGCTATGGAGAAGGTAAGAAATATATTCTATCCAAACCTTCCCCAATGTAAGTTGCAACGGTAGCTAAACCCCAAAATAGGACTTATATCTTTACACCCTCATGCTCTACCACCCGCAACACCGTACACTGGTATTCACAAATTCTATCTCTGCCGTCCGCCGCCTAACAGCCTTCCTCCAAAATCTCAATCTCCCCGCCCTTGCCTTACATTCCTCCATGGCCCAGAAGGCCCGTCTCCGCTCTGTCGAACGCTTCTCCTCTCCAACCGCGGACCCCTCCTCCATCCTAGTCGCAACTGACGTCGCTGCTCGAGGTCTGGACATCAAAGGTATCGACCTGATCATTCACTATCACGTCCCCCGCACTGCAGATACATACGTGCACCGCTCCGGCCGCACAGCCCGCGCCTCCGCCTCGGGAAAATCTATCCTCCTCTGCGCACCCGAAGAAATCGTCGGCGTGGCGCGCCTAGCTGCGAAAGTCCACGCCTCCTCAACTGCATCGTCATCGTCATCTTCATCCGTGACGAAGCGCCTCCCTCTGCACTCCGTCGATTTGGACAGGCGCGTCATTGCCCGTGTGCGCCCTCGCGTTGCCCTCGCGAAGAAAATAACGAACCACGCGCTTGCGAAGGAAAAACTATCGTCTGAAAATGATTGGCTGCGGTCCGCGGCGGATGATTTGGGGGTTGATTACGACAGTGAGGAATTTGCGGAGCAGGCTAAGGGGAAGGGAAGGGGGAGGGGGAGAGGCGGTGGGAGAGAGGCGCGTGAAAAAGCGGCGGGAAGTATGACGAAGGCAGAGGTTGCGACTCTCAAGGCTCAGCTGAGGGAGTTGTTGGGGAAGAGGATTAATATGGGGGTAAGCGAGAGGTATTTGACAGCAGGTCGTGTGGATATTGAGGCCTTGCTGGCTGTAGGGGGGAACAAGACATTCCTGGGTCAGGTAGGAGAGTTGGATTTCTAGAGGGGAGGTTGTAATGTTTCCATCCCCATGAGCGAATCGTACAGATGTAACGACCGTTAATTATGGTGAAAGAAAAGCATTCGCCACACAGTCCATGCTTAGTTTATACCCACGTGAGGAGAATCCAAAGTGACATGACTTGAAGCCGTAACTTGGCCAGTATCTGTACCTAATTCTAATGAAGAGTAAAAACGATCGTTGCACCGGGGGACGTATGAAACGATGCAAATTGAGTTTGCCTACAATTTGTGCGGTATATGTATATTGGGTGAAAGCTGTTTTCTCAATAAGATAACCTATTAAACGCCTTGAAAGTGAGGATAAGGAGCAATAATATCACTGCTGCCTCTCGCCAACTGGAGAAGAGGGAATAATTGACAGATATGTATGGGATACAATTAGGTAGGTGTACAAACTCTGGCATTGACAATACTCCATTCAACGTCTCCCAGTAAACAGTGTGATCAGAAAACTCCCAACATAGGAGGTACAAACTGGGTCGAGAATTTAAAAACCTATTGGCGAAGTATAAATCGTGTGAGACGACGCAAATGTGGGGTGGGAAGCGGGAGATTCAGTAACCGGAAGGGGGAATAATCTTGCTTCTGCAGAACGAATAATCAAACTTCTCGCCTGGAAACATGAGTCAAATTAGCATCATAATGATCGGGGGAAAGGATGAGATTCAGGGAATTCATACCAAGTAAGTCCAGACTGTTCAATGCCGGGAGTCTTTACTGCATTCCTGTCCCCGAACGGATTGTCTTCATCATCGTCTTCCTCTTCTTCTGATTCTTCACTGAGACTATCTGATTCCCGTTGTTTGCCGTGTGCTGCCGATGATCGGGCACTGTACGAGAAGTTGGTGGGTTTTGCAGGCCGCGGAGGAGGCTTGGTAGACCCATCAAGGTCAAGCCCCGCAAACCCGTCGTCAATGCCCCTTCCGCCTTCGCTCTCACTGTCACTATCATCATCGACACTTTTGTCGAGAACTTCAAAGGCCATAAGCGCATTTACTAGCTCGTCATTTGCGTGAATGAGACTTCCTAGAAACTCGTCGCTTTCGACATGTTGGATATATCTCAATATTTGTCGTCGCAGATTTTTGCAAGAATCGAATTGACTCATTACTTCTGTGTTCTCACTCACGCGTTGATTCTCGCGGTTGACCAGTTTAAGCGAATTCAGGAGATTAGTTCCTGCCACAGATGCAGATGCAATGGTTCGCATAATTTCTGGCCTCTCTTTCTCAAGATTGAATGGATTTCCGCGATGGGACCTGTCTTTCGCTATCTTGGAGATACTCGATCGACTTGGTCTAGAAGTCTTTGAAGATGTGGGAGACGACAAAATAGTAGCGGGTCCATTGCCTGCAGAAATGGATACGGAATGGCCTATTGGCGATTCGGATTGCGCTTCAGTTTCCTTGAGGACTTTGGATTGCTGTCGGTTCATCGGCTTTTTCCGTTGCGGGAGTTGTTTGTGAAGGGTAGCAATCCGTTCCATACCGGCCACTCCATTGAAGGAGGAGGACCACTGCAAAAACAGTTGCCTGCATTTGTCCTTAACTTCTTGGTCTGAAACAGGATCTGTGGCTGCGACTCGGAGACGTTCGAGGAGTGGCTCATCGGTGAAGCCGCGGAGATATCTGGTGGGAGTGTTCTGGAAAATGAAGTCTAGGATTGTAAGAGCCCTTAACTGGCGATGCACGGATCCATATTTCCTGCGGCGGAATTAGCACCTAGTAATCACTTGGATAGCTTGGTGATTGGGTTTAGAATACAATTTCTTCCGTAGGGCTCTACTGGCCTCACTTGGACCTGTCGCTTGTAGACGGACCACTTCGATTAGGTCTACGACCCCACTCGAGTCGTCGATGTCATATTCTTCACTTGTGAGTCTGTCAATGTGAAGAGTGATGGCCGAATATGGCTTCTGCGTCCACAAAAGAACGATATCCATATGATTAGCTGTGGGAACGTAATGCAGTAGAAGAAGCTACAGCTCAACATATGTTTCTAATAAGAAACAATAAATAGATGAAAGAAGGAAGGAAGTTGTATTCATGTAGGTGGCTGATCTTATTAGTTAAGGGGAGGGGGGGGGGGGTGGATAACCTAGGCAATTTGAATATACTGTCACATTTATGGAGTGAGAATATCCCTCAAGGAAGTGAAAGGAAAGAAATTTAATTGACAAAGCAAAATCTTCCCGTAGCTGAGTGAAAATACTAACTGAAACAAAATGGAAGCAATAACGGCGAGGCAGGGGTGAGTGAACCTACAGATCCGGAGAACATGCTGCACGAATTGGACAAGGAGAATGAAGATCATGTGCAGGTTCTAGGTCTTCGTCAATGTGTTGGAATATTGTCTCATAATGTCAAGTCGTGCGTAGTTGAAACTCACGAATGAAAATTTAAGATCTTGACTGGATTGTAGAAGTCTATAACGCGGAGTGCGCAACCGCGATGCGATTGATGTTGAGGGCGGCTGCGGGGAATGTGAGCTGTGCGGACGGAAGGGGAGAAGCGCAGACAGGTGATAGCTCGGTTGTATCGTTTGTCTGAAGCAAATGAAAGCTAGTTACGGACTTCCGAAAATAGCTGGCATCGGTGATGGTTCCCGCAGGACAATATATAGCGTCAAACTTGGTTGGGCGCGCAGGCGCACAGTATCCAGCAGGAGGAATACGAAGATACCCCGCGCCGGTCAATGGATGGCCGAGGAGGCGAATATGCGTATATGCGTGAAAGAGACAATAAGGCCCAAGCAACGAGGCTGTCCCAAGAATCTATACTCGTCTGTACGTACATTCCACGGGATCCGAATGTAAGCAGGGAGTTGTTTACCTGATCGGGAAAAGATGAAGCTGTTTGCGCATGCGAGAATGACGTTGTGTGAGTGAACTTCCCCGTGATGAGCTTCTCAAAGCAGATTAGTGCGGGGAGCCTCCGCTAGGGCAAAGCAACCACAGCCGCAGGCTATATATGGAAATAACTTCAATACATGAGTATGACGGCTAAGCCTCGTCAGTCGCGGGCGTCAAATTCACCACCCAGATATATCACTGTCTATTTTGCCGTTTCGATCCTCCTCCTCACCCTGGCAGCTAATTTGTCAGTTCGACTCCGAACCTGCCTCTCCCAAGTTTCGGGGCATATATTGGCTCCCAAGTCCTCTTATTCTCTAGGAATAAATATGTCCTACCAGCAGGAGCTCTATGTGGCAGAGCTCGCCGTACAGAGGGCTTCACTGTTAACACAGCGAGTATTCAACGAAAAAGCAAAAGGCACTCTATCCAAAGATGACAAGTCTCCTGTCACAAAGGGTGACTTCGGTGCCCAGGCACTTATTATCCAGGCAATCCTCAAGAACTTCCCAGGTGACGAGATAGTTGCTGAGGAGGAAGCTAGTGCTCTCCGGGAAGATAAACCGCTGAGTAATGAGATTTGGGACTTGGTCAAGGACATCAAGCTTACGGACGAGGAAAGTGACAAATTTTTGGGTGGACCATTGCAGAGCGAGGAAGCTATGCTCGATATACTCGACCAGGGGAAAAGCGCCGGAGGACCGAAGGGGAGGATATGGGCTTTGGATCCTATTGATGGTACAAAGGGCTTCCTCCGTGGGGGCCAATACGCTGTTTGTCTCGGCTTGATTGTAGATGGCGATGTCAAAGTAGGAGTAATTGGCTGCCCCAATTTGCCAGTCTCTGACTCCGCACCGATTCCCGCCAATTCTACAAGCATCAAGACCTGCAGCGATGGGACTGGAATGCTCTTTTCTGCTGTGCTCGGAAAAGGTGCCTCAAGCCGGCCTCTCTCAGGTGGAAAACTCCAGGAAAGCAAATCTATTTCCATGAGACCAGTCCTAGATATTACAAAGGCTTCATTCTGCGAGGGAGTTGAAGCTGCACATTCTGCACAGGATGACAACGCTGCGGTTGCAAGAATGTTAGGTATCATTGGCCCAAGTGTCCGGCTTGATTCGCAGGCCAAATACTGTTCCATTGCAAGAGGGACGGGAGATATATACTTGAGGCTGCCAGTGAGGAAGGTTACCAAGAGAAGATTTGGGACCATGCCGCTGGCGACTTGCTGGTCGTGAAGCTTGGGTGTGGATGGTTATCTATTATCCTCGGCAAGAGACTTGACTTGGAAAAGGAGAACTCTGGTCATGAATACCGGCGTCATTGCTTCCCCGAATGCTATCCATAATCAGGTGATCGATGCCGTGCAAAGAGTATTGAAGATAAAATGAAGACTTTTTTAGGTGTATATTTCTGTGTTTCTGAGATGAATCGCAGGTGAGGCACCTCAAAAAAAAAAAAAAAAAAGAGGAAGGGGGATTGGGAGGGAGATCGACTATCATACTAGAACAAAGTAAAAAAAAAAAAAAAATCCAAAGACATGGATATAGAAAACGCAACTGCAAGCATAAAATAGAAAAAATGACGGTCACTTGATTTTCTTTGCCTTCAGCCTGATCGTCTCGCCGTTCACAAATATACCCTTTCCCTTGTAAGGCTCCGGTTTACGCCATGCGCGAATCTCCGCAGCGAACTGCGTTACAACCTCCTTATTAATGCCTTCTAGCAAGATAGTAGTCGGTTGTGGCATACTGGCTTTAACACCAGGCGGAATGCCAAGCTCAATTGGATGTGCGTATCCAACTTTCAACGAAACGTACTGTTGACCCGGATAATCCGGCTCAGGAACGGTAACGGCCTTGGGTTCGATCATTGCCCTAAATCCAACTCCGACAAGCTTGAGGATGCAAGTGTGGCCCTCTGACACTCCTAAGATGTAGTTTTTCAAATGTTGTCGTATAGTTCCTGTTGATGAGAGACGTCAGAAGCAGCGGGTCTAGAGGGGATACAAAGGGTCAGTGAAAGCAGGCGCATACCCCACATGGCACGCTGATGCGTAACCTCCGCATCTTGAACTTCGACTGTTGCTTTTCGCAATTCCTGATCAAAATTTACGGTCGAGAATGAAGGGAGAGTTAATGTCATGCTTCCTGCAAGAATTGTCCGTCAGCGTTTGGTCCTGCGGAGAGACAGGGAATGAAATTGTGTACCCAATGGCCCAGTAACTTCCACCGCAGTAGTTGGATTATCTTTCCCCTGTCTTGCAGTGATATTTTTCACTTTTGGCAACGCGATGAATTTCAATGAGACTTCGGAAGGAACTGAGAGTGGTGCAGAACCAACTCGTGATTGCGTTGGAGTTGATACTGAGAAGGGTTGGCGGCGAAGAGGGAGGGAAAAGGCTGGAAGAAGGAATGATGGTAATGAATTGGACCTCATGGGGTCATTGAGGAGCTGCCTGTAGCAGCTCCTTGGTATTATCCCATTCATTTTGGCGGTGTTACTGATTCGATGTTGCTCTCTTGTCTGACGATGCTGGATTTCGTTTTAGGCCAAACCACGTGATCGTACGAGTTGCCCCTTTCTCCTTTGACATCAGAAATCTACTTGCAACACTGTATCTCCAGACAACCCCTCAGGCAGTTGTCTGACATCGCTTATTCAGGAACCGACAGTGTCTTACTTCATTATAGTCATGTTTGTAAACCATTGATTCTGTCATTTCGACCCTTGTTTTGCCCCTTTTTCAGTGGCATGTTTTCGCTGAGCGACGTTATCAGATCCTCTTACCAGGTTTACTCATGAGACGTTACCTGATTTCTTTCTTTCACATTGCAATTTGACTCTCGGTTTCGTAGGCGAGACGTGCCTTTGATCTTATTATTTTCATGCTTTTTTTTCATCCATTTCTTTTTTTATTCTACAATTCTGCAGTGATTTATCATCATGAAGATCCAAATATTTACCGCTCCTGCTCTATGCTTGAGCGGTCTTACTCTTTTGATAAGAGCAGATTCACTAAGGTTTTTCTCTTTGAAAAAAGGTGAGATAGCGGGTTGAGGATTTCATACGTATATCCCCGTAACTTACCGTGCACATCAGGTCCAAACCCATTATCATTCGGCATTGGACCTGAAGAAATTGATTTGCCATCTTTACTTTATGCACAAAACACTCAACATAGCGAGGTTTTTTCCGACGCCATTAGGCTTCTTGACTCCATGAAGTCATCACCTTCTTGTAATAGGCTGGCTGCAACTAATTTGATTTTGTCCTGTCAATCTATTGGCGGAGACGATGATACCGACAAGAACAACCCGTCCAACTCTCTTGATAACCTGAAGGCTTTGTTTGCTGCTAGGCTGGCTGTTTGTGAGCTTATCGGCGCTGGAGCTGCGATTCCCGAACAATGTTCTCCTATTCTTATATCTCATTCGACCTATGGGCACCCGGGTGCGCAGGATCAAGTTCAGCCCTCCCGGCTAGAGCCATGTCTCAGGTCTCTAGAATCTCGGCCCCAATGGTGGACGAGCTATAGTAACAGCAGACAAAATGCAGCCGTCATGTGCCAGGCAGCAAGAACGGAGATTGAACGAGAACACGACCTCAAGCGGTATAGGAAGTTGATAGATATCACCTCCATTTTAAACAACTCTCTTAACCAGACACTTACAACAGCAGCTATGGAGGCCTCTCGGCAAAGAGGGTTTTTAGAGGTCGTGGATGAAATGCGAAACCAGCTCTTGCAAGACTTGGAAAATGGATTTTTACGATATCACGATATAAAGTCGAAGGTATTTGATGATGCCGAGGGAGTACAAATCGTGATGTCTGCTGCGAAAACAGATGCTGCCAATGTGAAGAAGGTTTGACACATGGCTTCTGTGTACGAAGCACATTCGTTTTCTTACTGGCTATATAGGATCTCCTTTCCGCTTCGAATTCGGTCCATGAGTTGAAGCAGGCGCTTAATGAGATTCGCCTGACTAGTGCGAAAAGGGCTACTGAGATGGCTGCAGCTGAAAGGAAGAACCATCAAGAGAACTTAGCATTGGTCTCTTCCGTGAGACAGTCGGCTGAATTTCTAGCGAGTCAGAAGTTGGGCCCCATCATTGAAGGGTTTGACAATATATATTATTCGATGGTATCTATATATTCATAGCATCTCCCTACAAACTACTAACTCACTACGTAGCAAGCCGTCGAAAAGTCCATGAGATCTATGGAAACTAGACATGATGGCCTAGATTTAGTACGTATATCTCTGCTATCATACAAGTGGGAGCTAATTGTTTCAGCGTATCAAATTGTTCGAACAGGCCTTCCAGCAGTTTGAAACTACCGCTGTCGC